GATGGAGGTTAGAGAGGGTTTGGGTGGAAGGATGTTTCCCCAGGGGGTAGCGTTTTTTGGGGGTGCGGGATGGGGAGGTGATACCGTGGTAAAGTTATCCACGAAGCCACCGTTTTTTTGTCGTAGCTTTTGTGTTGCGGTATTTTGGGGAGTAGTTGTCTGCTGCTTCAGGTGAGGCTGCGCATGGACTTGTGCCTGGAAAATGTGTCGTGTCTGCCCCCCTCCCCGCTTCAGCCTAGGACAGTGTCTGCCACGGCGTTGACCTGAATAGGTGGCTTTTGCAAGGGGGAGAGGCTATGTGGTAGAAAACCCTCTGCCCTTAGGCTGTGTTTTCCTCTGTTAGCCTTGCCTGCTGTGGGTGACAAACAGACAGGCATCTTTCAGGGGATCTCCTCCTTTCTCTGCTGGATAAGTATCATCTGCTTGAGTAAAAGGTAACAGAGGAGAGCTGGCCCCCGCTTCTCAAAAAGCTTTTCCAGAAAGCATTCCCAGTGCCTGGCTGCCACCCGTTTGTCCAAGAAGCAGTGTTGCAAACAGAGCTCCTCTGTCTCCCTTCTGCCTGCAGTTTTGAATAGCATCCGTGAGAGTGGCTGGTTTGCTGCTCTTAGGGCTGGTGATGCCTGTTAAGCTGTAGCAACCCTAGGTGTAAAGGCCTTAGCTTCTGTCATTGCCTGGACCTCAGCTATGGGATCAAAGGACCCACCTAAGCCAGGGGCTCAAGGTGGTGGTTCCATGTTGTGCTTCCCATGGTAGGGCTAGACAAGCCTTCTTATGAAATAGCATAGGCTAGCTATTAAATTCTGGGCATGTTGGGGCAATGACATAGGTAGCTGTAAAAAAAAGATATTCTGGTCTATTAAGGTTTTCTGTATCTGCCTGCCGAACACCAGCCTTCACAGTAATTTTGGTGATTAAAAGCATACATGCCTAAGCATTTGTTCTGTATTGTTCACTAATAGCTTTCTGCTGTCTGATGTTAGGAAGGCTTATTTTGCTGAAGTTTTGCTTGTGGTTACTGTGTTGCAGCAAAATCACTGAGAATGCAAAGAAGTCCTTGGCTTCTCTTAAGAGAGAAAACCCTCGGCTTGAGCCAACACTTGCTATTATTCAGGTAAAGTATGTCTGCATGCCTGTCTGAAACTTCAGAAGCATGTGATGCAGAAAGTAACTTTTTTTTTCAAGCAAAGTGATAGAAGGCTGTAGATTGCTTTTCTGCAGGCCTGAAATAGCAAAACAAACTTCAGGCTGTGGGAAAGGTTTGCAAAGGAAGGGAGCGATTTTATCCCTTCCTTCTATTGCTAAGAGTCTTCCCCATTGTGAATATAGATTGCTTTTTCTCACAGGTTGTCTAAGTTGAGTCAGAGCAGTTGTTCTCAACCTCGATTTAGCTTCAAGCTTTTATTGCATTCTTGAAGAAAAGTGTTTACGTGCTTGAAAATGTGGGCCTTCCTTTATCTCTCACCCCTGAAACAACATTGCCAGGGTTAAGGAAAGACCCTGCTGCTTCCTGTCAGCTTTGTTGCCCTTGGGCAGCTGTAGCTTATGACTACTGTCCTAAGGAAAGGAAAAGCACACTGAAAAGTCCCAGTCAGCTCAATAGGGCTTGTATGAAATAAATGCTCTGTGTAAAATATCAGTATCCTTTAGAAACAGCAGCACTTTCTAAGGTAAAGCAGTGTTGTAGTAATTGAGAGCTAACTACTAACACTGTGAAGAGCCTTCCTTTCCATCCCACTGGCACTGCCATCTTTGAGATAGGCAGTAAAACTCATACATTGCTATGCCTGCAAAGGTGAAAGATGTTCCTCTTCAAATTTCTTGAAGTTACAAGGAGAAGAAACTAAGCATGTTTGTCACTCAGAGTGGGATCCAGAGCCATGGAGGCAAAAATGTTTTTGTCCCATTTCCTAGGACAGTGGTGTTGGTTTTGAGTTGATGCACACTGAATCTCTCACCCTATAGGTTTTAATTTTAAATCCTAACTATAAATATTTTTTAAGTACTAATAATGACTCTAAGAAATGCAGCACTAAACTGATTTAAGTAGGTCCTCTAGTGAGACCAACTGAACAAGCTCTCCCATTTCTTGCCCTCCCTGGGTAATCGTGGTTGATCCTTTCAAATGGCCCTCTAAGGCTGTAATTTTAAGCACTGCTAAAAGAGCAATGATCCATTTTCTCGGTGCCATGTTTTTTCTCACTCTTGTTTTGTCTCCATCCAGTTGCACTGTGAGCTGGATGGGGGCAGTGATTCACCCTGGGCTGGAGGGTTGTGGGCTTCATTTCAGCCACATTTCGTCCCCAAGTCTGGTTTTCCACATGGCCACATAGGTGTTTTATTCTGGCACAATGGAAGGGATATTGTTAGGATAGAGTGAGGAAGCTGAGGTTCCTGCACACTTTAGTATCAGCTGAGATGCATCTACATTGGTGTTTCAGTTTTGATCACAGTTGTGCCTTAAATGAATGTCCTTCTTGTCCCCATTTATCCCACTTGGTTTCTATCATGAGGTGGCTGTAAAAACATGTGGCCTAAATTCTTCTATATGAAATTTACCCAAACTATGTTCTCCAGCTGCCAGTCACCCTAGCTCTAGTCTGGTTGTAAGCAGAATCAACCATTTTAAGTGTGTATTTGCTGGTACGAAGAAGCCTTGTTTTAGTCTACAAATGCTCTTATGGTGCACTGTTCTACTAGGTGAGATGGGCAGAGCTTTAAGTTTGATGCTGCTCTCCACTTGCTGCATTGCTCCCAGAGGAACAGAGGGAGGACAGCGAAATGATCCCCTTTGCCAGTCCTTCATGTGTAACAGCAGTTGGCATAGCATGGCACCACCTCTGCAGCAGTACTGGGAATGAAGAGTTGCAGACTAAGCTTGCTCTGGAATGGTTGCAGATGTGTTATTTTCTTCTTGAGCCATATGAACCTGAATTGATACCAAGATTGATACCTGTGTTGCTCATTATCCGTGTTGAACCTCAGTTGGAGCTGTGCAACAGCAAGAAAGGATTGGTGGCTGTTTCTTAATTTTGTTGAAGCTTAATACATAACGGCAAGATCCTGCTCAGCAATGGAGCTGTTGCCCTGCAATGCTCAGGGAAGCACCACTGGCTTCCCTACATCCCGTGTGATCTGCCAGCCTATGTCCTGATCTCTGGCCTCACCTGTGCTGCTCCACAGGTTGTGATGGGAACTGGTTCAGGGCAGGGACTTTCTGTGCCCACGTGACATGAGCGTCCCCAGCCAGTGCTGCAGGAGTGGGGATATTACAGGGTGCGGTGGGATATTGCAGTGGCTTCATCCCAGTTAAACCTCTCGATCAGTCCTGGTGGTTGCGTGTCAGCATGGGGATACGGTTCCGCATTTTACTGGCATGGGGTAGCAGCTGCTGCGCTGTCCATAGTCCTGCCTCTTCTTGCCTTGCTGCAGTGTGAGCTCCACATGCTTTCTCAATGCAGAAACCTCTGTGCTGCCCCTTCACCCCCAGCTGCCAGATCTGGGGAGTGGGAGACTGGGATTGCAGTGCCAGGGGTGCAGGTGGTGCTGTGCTGAGGGAGGGAGCTGTGGGATGCCCTCATCCCGTCTCAGGAGTAGCCTCTCTCCATGGAGCCTATCCTTTTAAATGTGCTTTTTTTCATTGTCAGCAGTGTTGAACCATTTGTTGTTAAAGTATTATGGGATTGAACCAAAATAATTTTGGTGTTGCTAGTGACAGTGGAAGGCAGCACTGGCAGCTATCCACAAAGTGAGCGGCTCAACTCTGATGGGAACTCACTGTCACTGAGACATATGGAAAAAGCTATGTAGAGTGTGTTCATTAAATTGTTACAAGCCCGTTTAAAATTATTTATTTCAGTCCTGTTGTCTGGGTTGGAAGACAGATTTTATATATAATCATAGCCCTGAGAAGTGCTTTATTCATTTTTTTTATGAGGCCACCAACATTTTTGAGGGTAGAACCCTCACTGATCTCTTGGTAAGAGATTTCTAGTTCTGGATGTTGAATTCTCAGTTTTATTGTTACAATATATGAAAATATTTGAAGAGCCTCCTAAGATTCAAGAATAACTTGAAGAGTAAAATTAAATTGTAATTATTTTGATTAAATATTGTAATAATATACAGTACATATTGATGTAGAGACCTCAGGAGGCAGAATTCCTGGGTGAGATGGTCTCTCAGGTAAATCTGCCCGGGAGATACTAGTGTGAGTGCCTGCTGGCAACTGGGGCGACCTGGTAGCTTCTCTTGCTTCTGTATTGACAGAACTTACTGTAATAATGATAATAATGATTTGCCTTATTTTTGGTGGTAAGGCAAACCAGTGTTGTTAGGTGATATGGGGACACTGCAGGAAATGCTAGTATTGCTATTGCCTAGTTCATCCTTGTATGGATGGAGAACGGTGTCTTTGGACACAGACATACCTTCTTAAATGGTAAACTTACATTAAGGAAATGATTATTCACGTCTATAAAAGACAGGTTAATATGAACACACACTTTAATCAACCCAAAGTAAATTTACTGGATGACCTTCTGCTTCTTTCTTAGAATCACTAAGCTTTTTATTTGTTTGAATACCAGTAGACACAAACATCCTCACTGTGTTGTTTTCCTACACCTGTGCACTTACATGTAAATTTCATTTTTATAACTTAGTTTCTGTTTTGTTCCCCAAGGCACATAATGATCATTTGATTCAAGATATAAACAAGAACTTTGCCAAAGAGGTAAGCCTTAGCCAATACATCTGTTATTAATCATGAGCTACTTGCCTTTGGTAATTTTAAGTATTTTCTTTTGGCAGGTTGGTCTAAATGTTGTTCACATCTGTCTCCCTGAAGGTAGCAGCAAGGACGAGGTAATTGCAGTACCTGAAGGACTCTTCCTTTTTCACTTTCATCATAAACGTTTTTTTATTGCTGACATTCATTATCACTTTGACTCAAATTAAGGTTGGGACTACCTTAGTTCAAGTAGCAAGTATTATTCCCCTATCGGCAAGCATGGGAAAAAAGGAAAGTAATGAGCTTGTCTAGTGTCACCTGGTAAGCTGAGGCAAAATCAGCAGAGTAATGTTTTGTTTTCCTGTCTCATATTTTTCATGTTTCATATTTAACTGCAGCGTCCCCTCATACCAGCATGGGTATCCTTTCTCCCACAATTGTTCTTGTGACTGTATTTGATTCTTGCCCTAGTTATTCAGTGAAATTAAAGATTAATTGATTATAGAGGGGGAGGGGGTTGAATTTATTTGCCTGTTTATTGATCTTGTAATGCTTCAGATATGTATTAACAAAATTGTCCACTCCAAATCACTAGAGGGATAAATTCTTCCTTGCAAAGGCATTAGTTTGGAAGCACAGCACTAGTATCAAGTGTATTTTAAATATAGCAAACCATATTAATATACATGGTTCCGAGGCATTTGAAAGTGAAAACAGCATAGGAATGTGTAGTAAAAGATGCAGTGTTCCCAGCTGGCCTCCTTGTGCTTGGAGAGTTTGATAATCCTGCAGGCTTGTAGGTTTTGTGTACTATTTAAAATATTACTGGCTTGTAGTGTAATCTCAAGAACAACTTCCAGATATATTGAGAGGCATTTACTGTGAAGAATTTTAGGAGTCCAGTTTTGTTGATGATTAATAGGCAGCTACCCATTTAAGAAGAGTGGGCTTTTGAAATGAAGATCAAATACACTTTGCTGTTGGTAAATGTGTTTTATTTGCTGAGTAACACAGTAGGAAATAGATAAAAGATAGATAGTATGCAAGGGTGGTTGATATTACTTTGGAGTAATATCTTGGGAAGTTGCTGAGCTATGTACATAAAGAGAAAAGCAGGGTATTTTTGTTATTTGAAGAAGTTACTTTAATGAAAGTTCGTAACAGTTTCTTTACTCTTCTGTTTACTCGCTGTGACAAAGTTGGATATTTTTTTCATCTGTTAAAATCCACATGCTAGTTTGGCTTCCCTGGTTTGGGAAAGTGGGAGGGAATTCAATACTGTGCACTTTTTGTTCTGCCATGACTGCCTGTGCACAATAAAGGTAGTTAATATAAGGTTGCTTTACCCTGCATGAGTTGTAAGCATTTTAAATGTTATCATGATGGAAAACTGAATTAACGTAAATGCAGTGAAAAAGGAAAACTGAATTATTTTCCCAGGAAGCAGGAATATAGTTTGAAATTCATTGGATTCAGGCTATTTCTGAGGTATGTTTCCTTTAAGTAAGTGCTGACTTGTAGGCCCCTAACTTTTTGTGGCATCTCAGGATTTTTTTAAACAAAATGTGGATGTTTTCATATCCATAATCTGGTGTATACTCATCCTTACTTTCTATTAGAATGTATACCAACCCTGTCAAATCACAGGGTCTTACTATGTATGCCCATTTCTGTCTCAGAAGTCAGCAAACTAAAGAGACATTTCTATACCAGTGACATGCTTATATAATCTATGTCAGCAAGAAACTAGCACATACTCTTGGTTCAGAGTTGCAGACAGCCTAATGCCTACCAGATTCCCCTAGCTTAATATTGATTGTGTCAAGTGTTTGGGCAATAGAGTTCACAATTATATTGAATAGTGTAGATGAAAAGTGTTTTAGGAAGGCATACTATTAGCTAAGGAAAAAAATCTTATCCTAATTTTGTGTTGGATATTAATCCATTTAAATTATACAGCTTTGTGGTGTAGTTTTATTCATACAGTAGAAAGACATGCTTACATGGCATTTTTCACACACACAAAAACTTCAGCATGTTGTATTCCACTGTAGTCTTTATGGTCACAGCAGAATAGCATTTATCAGTATGGGTCCATGTTGCACTTTAGAGATGAAGCCATCAAGTGTGTAATCAAATAAAATAAAACATCTCTTGTATAATTGTTTTTTCTAGTGTTACACCTTTTTGTCCATGTTCTGTTTTGGGATGTGATCTAGTCCTGTTTTGAACCAAGGCTTTTTCTAAAAACATCTTCTGAAGCCATTACAGTGTCAAGCTTTTGCTGAGGTTTGCAACAGTGAAAGGCTGAATATTTTTGGCAGCATAATATCACTTAATATGTATTGGCTTTGCAAAATGTTTAGAATAGAGTTAGAGTGGCTTAATTTGATAAGCTGTGGAAATATAAAACAAAAAAAAGTGGGTTATTGCTTTTTCATTTAGAAGTTGCAGTAACACACGAGGGAAGCAAAGTTAGTTTTTAAATACAGGCTTTATCCCCTTCTAATTAGATTCTTCTTTTGTATGTGTTCTGATCTTTAATGCTTTTTATTAACTTTCTAGATTGTCAATGAAATCTTGAGACTGAATGAGGATCCTAATGTGCAGGGCCTTGCCCTTGACCTCCCAGAAAGCTTATATAGCAGTAAGGTATTAAACGCTGTGAAACCAGAGAAGGATGTGGATGGGTAAGTGAAGCACTGAGAAATAAGATTAGCAGACAAAAGGCTGATGGCTCTGTAAAATCAGTTTTCCCCTGTGCTTTTCATTAATGGATTCCTCAGACAATATGTCTAGCTGGGCTTTTGAGCAGTGATAAAAGGTGCTGCTGAATCAATGAGAAGTCTTTTGCTGAAGTAATATTGATCATTATCTTTTTAATCTTTATATACTGTATATTCAGGACATGGTCTTTTCAAAGAAAGCAAGAACTATGTTCTGATTTACTTATGACACTTAAGGTATTTCAGTACTTCAGTACCACAAATGGTAGTCTCGAGTACTGAACACAAACCCCAAAATTTTCACAAGAAGAATTGATGGAAAAGTTGCAGAGGTGGTTTTAACTACCTTACAGCGCACTCTCGCGGTGGGACAGTAGGCTATAACAGGACCCATTAGCTCGACTTTCCACAGTCTAGAGTTGCACTGCTCTCTGGAGAGACGACTGGCATAATTTAGGTGTCTGGCTTACCATTTTACTGCTCTTGCAGCCTTCCTGTTCTCAACTGCAGACTGTTACCTTTATTCTTTTTTCTTTTCTTTTCTTTTCTTTTCTTCTATTTTATTTTACCTTTTTTTTTTCCCTCTTTTTTTTCATGTCAGGAAATAAAACCTGAAAATTTTGCAAATTAATTACCTTTCCATTATCTGGAGTACTGGAGGTTGACAGAGAATGGAAAACTCAGAGCGTTGTTATTCTGTATATGAGAGAGAATGCAGTGCAGTGCAGAAACACTCGGGTTCTCCCCAGCAAGCCAGCCTGAGCCCAGAAGGATGACTCTGGCAGCACTGGTCTGGTTCCCCTGCAGCCAGTGAGATGTTTTGTCCCAATGTGCCATAGGCAGCCCACCATGATGAGTAAAGAGCTGCCTGGGTATCATGGGCTTGTGTTACTTGTTCCAACTCACAGATCCCTTTCCTGGTCTCTCTTGAGGCTCACTGTTTGTCTAAGTGTGATATGGGATGATACAAATTACTTGCAGTACATGAATATCAAAGGATTTGCTTTTGCAAGACATGTTTGCTGTTGGGATTAGCTGTTAGCCATGTTACAAGTGTTGCTGAGGATTTGTGTTACACACATTCTTCAAAAGAAAAAAAAAAGGCTGTATTTTTCCACTGCAGATTATCCAGTGTAAATCTAGGACGTTTGGTACATGGTGATGCCTGTGACTGTTCAGTTCCTCCTACGGCATGTGCTGTGATGGAGCTTCTTGAAGATTTGGGTGAGACCTTCTGTCATAGTTATTACGCTAATTATAGCCTAACTGATTTTCTCAGGTTTAGTCCTGACTGAGAGACAAATATAATCTCACCTGGTTGTGTTTTCTGGTTTGTCTTGTTTTCCCATCCAGCATATATTTGTCTCCCGCTAGTGAGAAATCCAGGTCTGCTTGTAAATAACTGCTGAGCAGATCGTTTGGATTTGGTTGCATTGTGTAAATGCTAACATTGAAATGGCAGATTTAAACAAGTGGCTTTACAGTGTATGAAGACACTGTTAGTTTAAGGCAGTGTTTCAGAAGTAGTCTCTCTTATAGTGGTTCATAATTGTTGAAACAAGGATTTCTGAAGCAGAACTGTAAGCAGGAGGTGAAATGTACTTAGTAACAAAAATTAATGAAAGTATTTGTGCAAGTAAAATACCAGAAAACCAGAAGAGCAGTATTTGCTTACTAGATTTAGAGGGCTGCCAGGAAACAGTTTAAAACCTGTGTTTTGTGTTACTGCATGGGCTCCAAAAGAGTTGCCCATAATGCCACAGCTGCTGTTGTTGTGCAGGGCATGGCGTTGTCCTGTCATGAGCCTCTTTCGTAGCTCTTCTGGAGGGATTTAGTGAGGGGGAGCCTAGTAAATGCGGGGAGTTCACATGGATGCTCCATCTCTGCAGCATGGTGGAGCCTGCTGCTAACACCTTTGCAGCCAAGGGTGGCTGAACAACTTGCCTTGTGTCATGCAGGTGGAAAGACGGTGCTGCTGGTGGGAGCCAGTGGGGCAGTGGGTGCTGCCTTGCAGTGCATGCTGCAGAGGGAGGGAGCTGTGACCGTGAGCTGCCAGTGGAAAGCCCTTCAGCTGCAGACCAAGGTGAGCACTCTTCTGTCTGCCCAGTGCTGGGAGTCATCCTGCACCCCCATCATCCAGGGGCACTGCTCCGCTTCACTGCCACTCCTGGGAAGGGAGATGCTACAGTCACTACAATCATGCACTGTACTGGAGCTCTATGGCAGCCAGTGTGTGTTAGGATCTTTGCTTTTCTCCTTCCTGCTTGTTCAGAAATGGCACTCAGGCAAACAGAATATTACATATAGCAGCTGCTATAACTTCATTATTTCACACCAGTAGCTGTGAGAGAAAGAATCTGGAATATAGTTTAAAACACATCTTAGGTCTTCCTTTTTCTTTCCCTTGGTGCGAGAGAGATGCTCTCTCTCTTCTCCTCCTGTGATACAGTCATCTGTATGAAATTACTTTAATTGAATTTGTGTCTTAAAGGTTTGCAAATGCTACCTGTTTTGGGACAAGGAGGATCACAGTCTTTATCTTCGAAGGGAATCGTAAAAGGGTTCAGAGAAACACAGGACCTTAATCCGAAGTATCTAATTTACATGGTCTTCGTTGGTTGCTTTTTGCGGAGCTTTTAACTACTTAGTATGTCTTCCATTCAGCTTCCCAGTTTGGTCCTTAGTCCCACATTTTCTTGAATCATACAACTGGGAATGTGTTGTCCTTTGGGCGTATGATGAGAGGTGCAGATACTATCTGTAGAAGTGGTGCACGTACCCCAGTGGCTGTTTGCAAGTCTCTGTAGGGGTGAGGTGCAAGGATCAGCTTTTGTGTTAGATTTGATAGCACACTCCACAAGGTGGCAGCCAATGCAAAATGATTGTATCAAACCTCTGGGTTTTGAAGGCAAGGGCAGGAGGAGGAAAGAAGTTTAAGCAGCTGTGACAGTTAGAAATTTCTCTGGCAAACCTGTGTTTTCACAGCTGCGGATGTTTTTGTGAGGCTGTCTCAGCTCCATGCTTTAAGTGACTGACGGTACTTAGGAAACATATGCCTCTCTTGGAGATGGGAGCACTCTGAACCTTACTACTACCCATGTCTCATTCTTTAATTATTTCTCATTGCTTGGGGTTGTGCTAGAGGACTGCTTTGGGCTGGATGGAATGGGTGATAGGGTGGCCAGGGGTGCTTTCACAGATTCAAAGCAAAAGACTTGGACAGGGCCAGAGCTGCCTGTGCAATACTGTCTATGCTGGAGAGAGATGTTTCCTTCCATCCAGATGCTTTCCCATAATTGTCCTTTGCTTTTTGGCTTTTCCTGTAGCTTACCTCTTGTAGCAGCTCAGTGATGGGAAACAGAATAGGAGGCCTAAGCAGGAGGCAGTTTGGGGTTTTGCACATTGGTCTTCTTCCTAAGTTCATTGTAACTTTTGGCAGTAAAGAAGTTTCTGCTTTGCCTGGGGGACTAATCAGCAGAGCTCACAGGAAACCTACCTTCCTCTTCCTTGTCTGTAAACCTGGAGCAGCATGTCACCAGTAACCCCCAGAGCGCTGCTGGACCTGGCTGGATGTAACTCTCTTACAGTTAACTCTAGCTCCTAGATAAAATCTAACATATACAGGGAAAACTATCCTGTTTCATATTCCCGGAACTGGAGAGTCAGAAATTGAGCACAGATTTCCTAGTGGACAATGAAGCACTGCTGTCTTATGGCAACCTGTATTTGAAATATAACATTGTTAGATAATATGATTATAGCTGAAGACATGAATTTATTTTTTCTTGCTTGTTTTAAATACTGATTTAGTAAAAACAGTCTAAAGGCTCACAAGGTTTCTTCTCTTGATTTTTTTTTTAAATATGAATTTCAAGTAAGAAAATGTTAGTTTATGTCGAGGTTTTTCCAAGACTAAAAAGAATTAGTTCATGTTTTGTTTTTACAACACAGTACACTAACTTTAGACATGGCTGTACACTTTTTGTCCTCCTTCTGAATGTGATACCTTTACAGTAGCAGTGGGCATGGAGTAGTTTGGAAGTATAACCTTTGGTAGCATAATAACTTCATTTACAAAGGGAGGGATGAATTTATGAGGAGTATGAACCTTTCACTGGGGTGCGTTTGTTTTGCAATATATACCAGGAAAGGAAAAATTGATCTTAAGTTTGGGTGTACCTTGTGTGTCTTAATCCATTGCCCAGGCCCATTTGCACTGAAGCCTTAACTTAATGATGTAATGCCTTTCTTGAGCGGGTACTACATTACCTTTGACTAGCTCTGCTGCTATGTTCTTTTTTGGTTTTGTTTTTTTTAAGGCTAGCATAACAAGTGTTTTCTTTAGAAGTCTTTTGACTTAAATGATACACACGACACTAAGATTATAGGGGGGTTTTGTATCAGGTTTTGTATTGCTGTGGACTCATTTCTGCTGCTTTTACTCATGGTCTTTTGTAACAATATTTTGAAAATGGTCAAGAGGAAGGTATGTTTTAGTCTACCTTAGGAAAAGTCTAACAATGTAGAGGTATCTCTGCTGACAAACAGCATAGTACCATCTGACTTAGTGTGTTCCATTAAAGCAAGTCTTTTCTGTCCTATGGCAGGAAAAGGGGATAAAATAAATTATGGTACGTTTTCATTTCCTTGCTTTGACCTGTATGAATAATGGACACACTTTGCATGTTCTTTTCCCTCCCCACTTCATATTTTGTTAAGGTGAACAGAAGAATGACCTGGTGACATACTTTCAGGAACATCTCTCTTGTCATTTAAAAATGGGACTACCCAAATATTGATTCAGCATTACAGGTGAAGAATGGGGACTGATGTGCTTAATCCTTTATTATGTTAGAATTAGGCTTTCTAGTTTGAAAAGAGGTTATCACATAGATTCAAATTGAAAAAATACAGATTACTTTCTTGCTGAAACATGGGTAATACTTAGTTCCTATAAGAAAATTTAATTCTGTTTCAGTCATCTCAATTCAGTCAGTCACGACTTCAAGACATCTTAAATGTAGTCTGTATATGAATCAGATCATGCCTATTTTAAGAGAGCTGCTATTGTACAATTTTGTTGTAAAATAACTGAAAATTGGTCTATCTAGGTGTAATCAGGAATGGAAAACTTGTTTGTAAAAGCCTGGTTGAGAAGAAGGAGTGTGGATCAACTGGAGTGCATGAATGGGAAGTTCCTTTTCAGGTTGGCTAAGAACCTCTTTTGGCCAGTCTGTTTTTTCTTAGAGTCAACACTTAAGCTTCAGGCAGTTAGACATCTTAGTTGTTTACTCTCCTATTTTTCTGTCTTGATAAGGCCAAGAGTCTTGGTACTGGCAGAAAAATACATTTCATATTGTATGCGTGTAAGTAAGCAGGAAATAGTGTGGGACCAGGTATCTGGATCCCATAAGAGGAGAGGAGAGGGAGGCTGCATGAGAGTTTCTAATAACAATGCTATAGACAAAGTGTTTCTGCTTCAACATTATTATTTGCATCATCTCTGTTCCTTGGAATTTGAAATTTATCTCCCTGTCTGTGAGCTAGAGGAACAGTTGCTAAAGCAGGCATCGCAGAGGTAAGCTTGAGCCCACAGCAGAGATGTGGACCTAATTTTCACATGCATTGTGTAGGGCAAGTGGTAGGAAAGAAGCTGTTGATGTCTCGGCAAGAGAATGGTAGCAGAGAGCTAGTGGCTGCTTGCTGCTGCTCATCCTTGAGGACGGTGGTTGGAGGAGGAGGGTTGTCCTAGATAGGTTGCTGATGACTTGCAAACCTTGAACTTCCTGAGGCAGAGATGGAGATGGAAGAAACCACTTAAGGAGAGCATGACTGAGTGGAAAAAGTACCTGAAATTAGTCATTGGCACAAAAAAATTCTGGATTTGAGAAAGAAATTGAAATCGCTGTAATTGAAGTGGAACCTCATTTATAAACCAGTATGTAGAATGACTTTTTTTTTTGTAAAAAGAGTTGTGAAAAAACTTTGAATCAGATTCCTATTCCTCACCCCATCTCTCAAATTTTAGGTAGCTTAACTTCATACCCAGAAAATTGAGGGCTTTCACATTCAAAATAATAATTTAAAATATTTTTTTCTTAGGAATTTAAAAATGGCTTTTATAGCAGCCAGTTTTAACTATGGGGAAATTAAATTGTTTTGCAAGCTTCATGGCAAAATGCGTCTTCATTTATCCGGAATATACAGCTACTTGAAAACTATTATCATTAACTACTTGGCTGGAAAGACTGTATTGATGTTTTAACATTTGGCGTTCTATCTTGGGAATGGGTGGTGCATCTTAATCTGCTTCTACTTAAATTTTGGTGGAAAGAGTCATATCTTGTTATGAGGTTTCAGATTATTTATTGGCACAGCTCTTCCCAACTGAAAAAATATTTACCGGTGAGAAGGCAGGATAATACTCACCTTACTATGTCTTCAGCTTATTGCCTAGTACGTTAAAGATAGTTTGGCACCATGCTTATCATTCCTTCCTCTATCCTGCCTTGTGGATCACAGCCTGGCTGTCCAGGGAGCATTGGGCCCTATGATCACATGTTCCCCCTTGTGGGTATCTCCTTGACTTTCTGGCTATGGCTGCCTGTAGCATCTGGTTCCTGTCAGATGTGTCCTCTGTGCATGGTATATTTGCTTAAGGAGATTGGATGTGATGATTTTATAGGTCTTTACCATCTCTGACGTCTGTGATTTGGTTTTGATGTAGGAGATAAGCCTGCACATGCCTCCCAAGGCTAGTTGCTTGCTTAGTGATTTACAGGCAGTCAAAAAAGTAGGTTATGGCAAGAGAGGTTAAAAAAAAGCAGGGGACTCATGGGCACAACTGATTGAAATGAGAATCTCCTGATGGAGATCACATCAATCTCTTCTAAGGACACCCAAAGTTCTGTAAACAACTATTTTGCTTTCAGTGGACTCACTCTCCCAGTCAAACAAGTTTCTGGATAGTTTTGGGTTTTTTTTAAAGAAACTCATAGGGGAAAAAGGTTCTGTAAGTTGTTTGTGACAGTTACTTTATTGACTCTCCTGCAACTTTTTCAATAGTTGCACATAAAATACTTGCTTTTAGCAAGAGAGTTACAATTGTATGTGTTTTTATTTCTCACTTTATATTTACTTTCTTTGTGAAACAAGGAAATAATTCTGGGGGGGGCTCTGAGATGAGTGTGTCTTCAACTCATAGGACAACTGCTCGCTGCCCTGTAATGCAACTTTTTTCATGGAGGAGGTGGGGCAGCACAATGAGATGAAAGGTTCAGCTGGTTTTCCAATACATATGTGGGTACGCATGACGTTAGCCATCCAAACTAGTGTTAACATTAGCTACAAAAATGATGGTGTTCAGCTGTTAAGAACATTTTTGAACATTAGGATTGGTAGTCATAGAGATGAGTATTTGGTCAGGTCAGTTGTTTTCTGGCATTGTAGTTACATTGGATCAATTCTGTCATAAGTATGTTGGCTGAACATTTGTCAAAATTATTACTTGTTGCATACAGTTCTCAGCTGGTTCATAGTTTCCTGATGCTAAGCGCTGTGCAAAGCTCTTAGTCCTTGTCCCAGAGGCTTTGCATAGGAAGACATACCTGACTTTCAGTATATGAATTATAACTGTTAGAATATGAATAATTTTTTTTTCTTACAAAAAAAAAGCTGGATTCATGTAACTGAGAATAATGACTATTTTTCTTTGTGTTGTGATGACTGTTAACAGCAGAGACTGCCTCGTTTTGCAGGGGAAAGCCTGTCCTCAACATAGTATTCTCGGTACACAGTCGTTGCAGCATCTTTTTATCCAAATTTGCTTGCAGATTCCTCAGTATGATTTGACCTGGCACTGGTCAAGCATTATGACTTATGTGGCCTTCTAGGAGTGACATGTAAGTTGATATTCACACCAGATGCAGGAGCGTGAACCATCTGAATAAAGCTGGATGACTGTTGAGACTGTATGTTTCATATATGCAGGCAATCATAAGAGTGTTGCAGGACTTCTGACTGAAGCCTGAATCAGGTCATTGCATTAGTCATTTGTCAAGCAAGTAAATCTTCTCCTGTGCTTTTGGCTTTGTTTCTGCATGTGCGTCTCTAAGGAGAGTTAGACCATCCTTTTGTCCTCTGAGGGGAATATGGGGTTTTTTAGCTTTTTGCCTTTTCCACTGCAGTTATGCTCTTCTCCCCTCCTGGATGCTCAGCTGTGCCAAAAATCTGCTATCCTGACAGGATTTGTAGCTCTTCTTTCTTGGCAGGAGTTTTGGGCAGGGTTGTGTCAGAGCACTTTTGGCCAAAAAAGAAGCTGGAATGCTTGTCAGTCACAAATTAATTCATAGTGAGACTTGCTGAGTTTGTGACACTTGGTACTCATTTACATTTTTCAAAATATTCCCCAAATCACTGTATCGCTGAAATAATTTTTACATTTAGGCTTGAGGGAGTGCTGTGCCTGTATTTTGCCTTTTTGGTGGATCTTGATACATCTGCTTCTGTGCTGTCCCTTATGGTGATTCTGATAATTGGTACAAGGCCTTGTTTCAGAGGAGCAAGGAAAGGAAGACACTTACGTCTTTGATTGTAAGAATTTTTGTAGTAACCATTTTTGCTCCAACATCTGTCAGGTTGAACTAAATCAGAGGCACTGATTAGCAAACATGAACTGAGAAGGGGAAAAATGTTTTAACTGGTATTCTTCTAAGGCATTGATGTTTGCAGATCAGGTCATCTTGCATTCCTGTCAGCTGGCCCGGTTTTCTACTGTCAGATAATCTGACTGTACTATATATAATTGCCTATTTACTGTCTTTCAACCCTTCTCCTTCTTAAGTCTCTCCAAGTTATCTTGTTGGACAGGACTTTGGACAATATTAGGGCTTTTTCTTTTAAAGTATGTAATCCCCATTGAATATTATTGGTGCTGACTGCCTCCAATTGCCCAATTTCATGGTTTATTTACCTAACTTCATTTTAAATGTTCTTAAATTTCATGTGGGGCTAGAATCAAGCCATCAATTTGGAATTTTTTCTTTTTGTTGTTGCTGTCTGAAAATACCTTGCCTAAAAGACTATTGCTATATAAGTTTGAATAATACAAGATGAATATCCAAGAATGTATTTCTAACATTAATTCTTGTTTTGTTTCTGGGGGGTGTTTGGGCTGTCCCTAGCTTCATCACGCAGATGTGGTGGTAGTTGGCAGTACAAAACCTGATGATGTTTCTGTGAGCTGGATAAAGCCTGGAACCACCATAATCAGTTGTTGTCATGATTTGCTGTCAGGTAAGAGGCATTAAAAGACAACAGTTTTTGAAAGTGATGTACGACAAGTGTTTGAGCTAAGTGTGTGGCACATTGGTGGCAACGAAAATGTGGTTAAAAGCTACATCTTTGGGAAAGGGCTTTTAAAAGTGGGTGTTTGTGTACAGTGGATGTATACACATGTATCTGATGTATAAATAGGAAAAAGATGTCAGGTGAGGGAAGAAAGGCTGGAACAAATTTTTTATACCAGGATTCTTAGATCAGTGATGATACTATGGGTTCAGAGAATTCAGAGGGAAGACTTTTGGGTCATCAGATAAGCTATTATTTAATGGTGTTTTGTACAGTGTGTTATCCTGTGACTTCTGTGGATTCATCTGGAACATGGGGAAAAGAGGACAGTAAAAAATGTCAACTGCCATGTGCTGTGAAGCTCTTTAGGAGAGAGTAGAGAAATCGTGTGTAGCTGACAACAGGCAGAATGTCTCCTGTAGTAATTACCCATAGAAAAAAAGTTTGGATTCTCATCCCCTCTCTTCCCTGACTGGTTTGGGGAGGGGGTATATGTTCATTAATTTCTCAGGTAAAAAATGCTGCAGAATTTTATTAGGAATAAAACTAAGAAAGCTTCCCAGAAGTTACTCTGGTCTACTGATAGAATTGCATTTCCTGTAAAATTCCTGAAAGTCCTGTGAAGATCTCTAGGTATTTTATAGATTTTTTTCGTATGTATATGAATTTGACTGTTCATTGTCCAGATGGGATTATTCTGCGAACGTATCAGAAACTAAAGAAGTATATGGGTAGCGTGATTGGTTAATGTGTTTTTCTAAATCTATTTCAAGTGTGCTTATTGACATCTATTGATACAAAACTGGGGAAATGGGAATAAGGCCAAGGAAAACTAATTGTATGGTTCTTAAACTAGGAGTATTCCCTAAGGACAAGCTAAGCAGTCTATGCAGAGCTAATGCAAGATCAGACTCATAATAAAGCAGCTGTTGTTCCCATGCAAAGCATGGCCATAGAGATTCCTTTCCTTGTCTTTCATGATATCCTCTTGACTTGAACACACGCTGTGGGTGTGGGAGATCTGTGTTACTATTCACTCCATTGTCTGAAGGCATTTGGGCATTCAACTTCCACCTCTCAGAACAGTGCTCTGATCCTAATGAGGATCACAGAGTTGGGTACCAAGCCTTGTTTCTTGCTGATGCTGCATGAGTTGTCCAGAAGTAATTAATTTTTCCTTTTTCCTAGCATAGTGATTAGGAAACTCCTCACATCTTCAGTGACCACTTATTTTGCATAGGGATTGTTGGATATAATTGTTAAGTATCTACCTGTAGGGCAGGGCTCAGAGCATAGGTCTCTTTGACAGGTACCCAATCTACTAGTATAACATACTCATATATGAAGGAGTAATGGGGGAGAAAGGGGCAGACAAGAGAGAATGGTGGTACAGTGGTAGCACCTATAAATAAATAAAGAAATGAAAAAAATAGTCCCTCCTCATTTGAATCCTTCTAAGCAGAAATCTCTTAGGTGTTGGACTCAGGGTAGAGGTGCAGGTCTATGAAGGCAGGATGGGGGTAAGCCAGTCCTTGCAGTCTGAGTGGGCATTTATAATGACTTGAGATCTCCTGGCACTATATGATGTCTGGTGCAAGTCCCACCTTCATATACCTAGTTCTCTCCTTCTGTTACAGAGAGGGTCTGGGTCTTCAGAGACCTAAAAGTTACACAGTATAACCATGCCATTTCTTGAGACTTAAGTATCTTTGTGCCTTAGTTGCTCTATAGAACTGTAGATAATATTAGTGTTTCCCTTGCCTAAAAGATTGCTGTTAGGAAAACTGCATCAGGATATCTGAGTGGTGTTCACGTATCACAGCAACTTTCATTCTTAAGGCAGGAAACATAAGATTTGGCATAAGCATATAGATATTTTTGCATTTTTCAAGTTGTAGCAGTGGGCCATGCCAAGTATTTCTTTGGAAAGGCAGCATGAGATTTTTAGCTAGATAATTTAAATAGAACTTATCTACCAAGTGTCTATCTGTCTTTCTGGTTATGCTTTTGAGATTGTCAGAATCTTGGAGAAACTCCGAAAGAATAGCAGAAATGTGTTTCAGCAGCTTTAAAAAATTCTGGCCTCAAGACTTACTAGAGAGGTACATGAAACATGGGTGTCTGTTTGAAAGGAAGAATGTACTTAGTTTAATTGCAATATATTTATTAAAAGCCTACTGTGGAATATTCATGACCTTGGAGAAGGAACTGAGTCTCACAACTGACTCTTCACTTTCAATATGTGGTAGAATCTGGCTGAGATGCTTGGAAATTGTTCTGGAATTTTTCTTGCTTTAGAAATGTCCAACTTAACATCTGTGGGGTCACAGCAGTTAAGTGAAGCCTGAAAGCAACAATGACCATGAAATAACTTTTATTCTAGCTAGATAATGGCTAGATTTCTATCTTTCATAGTTACACATGTAGTCTAACACACTCAAATGTTTTAAAAGCCCTCAAAATTTGCAAGGATATCGCTGAATTGGGCAGCTGCTGTAAGCCAGAAGAGTAAAGCTAAAAGTGCTTGCTACAAAGTAGCAGATTTTTTTTCCCAAGTTTTTTTTTTTTTTAACCTGATCAAAGATCTTTTCATTATCACATTTTGAAATACTCTCCAGTTTCTAGCAGTGCAAAATCTTGTTCTGCTGCACTAATGATTTTGGAATCAAATGAGTGCTGGTAGTGTCATACAGGAAAATACTTTATATGTAACTGTATAGAAATGAAAGTTTCTGAACAGAACATAAGGGTGCCAGATTATTTGGGATTTGATGTCCAACTCTTTGGGGTCACTTGAAAGCTGAAGCTCATATGATTTAAGTACGTTAGTGGGAAATTCAACCATTTCCCCACCTCTTCTCTATTCTGAGCTGCCTGAGCAGACAGGTAACGCATGACAGCAACTCTCACCCGTCTGTGTGGTAGGGTATGAATAGATGGGTAGATGGGCCTCTGTTGGGGTGAGTCAGAGGAGGGAGCACCATGTCTGCAGTTCAGCTGATCTTCTGGCCCTAATCCAAAGCAGAGAGTGCTATTCCGGCTCCCATCTGGAAAATTTATCCTAAGAGAGCTGTTGCAATCCTGTGATTGTCTTGCAAGCTCAAGTGTGCATGACTTTCACCTTTAGCTTCCCCTTCGCTGCTGTAAAAGCCTGGTTAGTCATTTGTGGGATGAGTGTGTAGCATAGGCAGCCTGAGAGAAGTAGTTTATTGAAGGGAAATGTCTAATTCTGATATGTATTTACACACATGCTAGCTCTGCCCTGATAAAGAAGTTGTATTAAGCCAAATAACATAAAAAGTTGATATGTTTCTGTAAAGCACAGCTGTCTGAAAGAGGATTTTAAACTTCATTCTTCCTACTTCATTGGTCTCTTTGGCAGCACTCCCAGTCTGATCTCAAAGCAACAACAGTCAACTTATGACTGTGATAGACTGTTCCAGAAAAACTCCTCTGTCTGAGTCTAAATCCAAGCATCTCCAGAAGGCTTGTTTTGTTTTTTTTTTTTTTTTTTTAAATTCTTTTTAAGGATTTTTGAGGCACATTAATTAGAGTTTAGTGCCAGGACTGTCACCTTCTACTTCATTAGCTTTGTCACTGGTGGGTAGATGCCACATAGGCTCCAGCCTGAGATTTCTGTGCCCTGCCACCGCCAGGACCCTTACTGGGAGGGGTGATTGTGCAAGGCAATGTGAGCGGTTTATGATGTACAGATGGGATGAGTAGAGAGACAGCTTGACCAGGTCATGGTTTGCACTTCAGTTCCCCTGTGGGGGAAAGGTTAAAGTTGTCAGCATACAGTTGTTATTTTTTATTACAATTATGTCTACGCCCTTCAGAATGCAGCTAGGGCCTTGATATGCCCACAGAGACTAAGATGTGAATTTTGGAGAAATTGTGTCTACATAAAAGTCAATAAGCAACAGCAGAACAAGCCAAAAGAATGATTACAAGAAAATGACAAAATAATGTTTAGTTAGGGTAGCTATTGTATAATTATTATATGATATAGTGCCACTGGAAACAATTATAACTATCTCTAAAGTTGGAGTCTGAATTGTGTAGACTTCAGAATGTCTACTTTTAATGTCACATTCATGAAGATATTTGCTGCTGCTCAAAAAACCTTGCATATTCTGTTTCCAAGTTATAAATCCCATTCGAGAATAATCCTATATAGTATTTGGTGACCATTTCATTGTTCTCTCTCGCTGTAATGGGTGAGAGGGAAAGAAGACAGGCTTTATCATGCTCATGTAGGTGTTCTGTATAAAAATATATATAGCTTTTTAAATCCTCACAGCTGCCTCACACTTTTTCTAGCACCTTTTGTTTTTTGTTTGTTTGCTTGGTTGGTTTTGGGTTTCTTTTTTGGTGGTGTTGTTTTGATCCAGAAGCAATTATTTGGGTCCTCAGTGTTTCCTTATTTTCTGTTTAAAGTATTCATATGCTTTATCATATGCATGTGTGTAATATGCATATTATGAGTATATGTTTCCGTAACATGCTTCAGAGCATACAGTTATTCCCTGATTTTTCACAGTATATCCGTCCTCCTGGGTGATTTCATTTGAAATATTAAAGAAGCCACCTACAATTTTGTCAGCAACATTGTTAAATTTCAAGTCAACATTCAGAAAATTTTTGATTGGAAATAGCTTTCAAATACACATGCTCCCACTCACAAAAGCTTTGTGATTTATTAGTGTAATACTTCTGTTTTACAGAGAAACACAGCTATGGTCAGCAAAACAATCATGCTGCTGAAAACACTGTTGGTTCTCTCGCAATAGCAATGCGAATGCAGGTTAGTGGCACTTCAGACATTGTAAATTTGTTGCTGTTACTGTAAACTGTAGAAATTGCTTCTCCAGCTTAGATTTTAATTTTTGTTTTGCTCTTTTAAACATCTTTAATAACAAGTATTACTCAGGGTGAATCATGCCTGCTATCTTTAGCTAGAGAAAAGTATATTAAATATTAGATGTCATCATTCTGATGATTACAGTAAACCTTGGAAGAAGCACTGTGTCAATAAACTAATGTTACTTACTCTGGTAAAACAGTGAAGATTAATTACAGTGTGTGCATTTTTGTGGTCTCATGGATAGAGGGTCCAAAAATTTGATGTTTCATGTGTAAGCAGCATGAGTCAGTGAACAATTAATATCTTCCGTTATTTTTTAAGGTATGAGAGAAGAATAGTAACTCTCCATTTTACCAGAATAAAATCTCCAAGTGCCTAGAGACTCTTCTCTGCCACTTATGTGTTAATGGTCTTGTCTGGTTTTGATGAACAAGAGGACAGTTATAGTGCAGTGTTTTTTTCTTTCCTCCTAAAACCATGAAATGGAAAGATTTTGAAGTTGGTTTTTTTTTCTGTTAGCCTTTGCTGTAGAAGTTATTTCATTATACTCATACTTTTGAGATCATTTGAAACTAGCATTCAGCATTTATGATACAGCTGGTGTGTGCTGTTTTCTTGTTTAAAAACAGAACATGGTAAAAACCACAGAGCGATGGATCCAGTCCCAGCAGTACAGGAGGTGGGACCTCCGCTGCTTGAAACTGCGGCCCCTCTCCCCAGTGCCCAGGTAATAAGTGCAAAAGAGTAGGCAAGTGTTAAATGTGACAATGAACCTAAAAATGGTCCGTTCCTTATCGATTTTTAATCATCTTGTGTGGACTACATGTTGTGCTGTTTTGATGTATGCCTCATTGTGACCATGTCCTTCTGTTTCCTATCAATTTTTACTTTTATGATGTGCATTGGAGCCAAGCTTTGTTTAATGAAGACCTAAAGCTAGAATGTTTCAATGAGGGAGGGATATGAAGCCTTGTGTAACATCAACAGAAATACAAAATGCAGGAAGTTCCTAATCGCTAAACCTAATGTAGGAAGGTGTTTATGGATCTAGTTAAGGACCAGTGGTTTCAGTGACATTTGATCACGTATTTATTTTCTTCCCTCAGTAGAAGTACTTTCTCCTGCAGTAGATTTTTATATTCCTGTTTAGATGTGAAAAGCAGGAAGCATACTCATTCTCATAACCAGAATCTTTTAAATCAGTTCCTGTCCTTTAACTCCCAAGGCGAATGTTTGGGCCTCAGGGATTTTAGGTCTGCCTTGGCACAATTGCTGACATCTCTGATGTTTAGATCAGCCTGAGCTCTTCACTGTGCTGAAGTGCTTTGCTGTGTGTTGGTTGTATTGGGTGACAGAGGGAGGAATCAAGCACTTGATGTTATCAATTTGTATAAATACAATGTATATAAATAAAAGGGTACAAAGAAGACAAAGCCAGGCTCTTCCCAGTGCTTCCCAGTGACAGGACCAAAGGCAATGAGCATAAATTAAAATACGGGAAGCTCCATCTGAACATCAAGAAACACTTTTTTGCTGGGAGGGTTACCAAGCACTGACACAGATTGTGCAGGGAGATTGTGGAGTCTCGAGTCTCCATCCATGCAGATACTCAAACACCACCTGGATGTGGTCCAGGACAACTAACTGGCTCTACATAGGAGACTGGACCAGATGACCTCCAGGGGTCATATTCAGCCTCAGCCAGTCTGTGATTCTGTAATTCTGAATCCCATTGCTGTTTTTGGAAAGCTGTAACAGAATGTTTTCTAAGCATTTTGATTCTGTTTTCACTGTCTCTTACAACAGTTTCATGAGAATGGAGGCAATTGTAATTTAAAACAGAGATGCCAAAAGAATGAGTTTTCTTTTGTACCCAGAGGCACAAGGGGGAAGAAATACTTGAGCTTTTCCTGGGCTAGCATGTAACATTTCTAGAATTAAAGCCTGAAGAATCTATCCTTAAATAATACAGTTAAAAGGAAGACTAAAGCATATGATGTCATGAGTGTGATGGTAAAAAAACTCTCAAAAAAGTATTCCCAACCTCTCTATGACATTGTGTGTTTCGTACAGAAATATTTGAATAATTAATATGTAATGGCATATAATATAACCAGTAATAGGACTTCCATTTATTTGATAACTCTGTAGCTTTATGTCTTTTTTTCTTTTAAATATAAAGTAACTTGTCAGATGGAAAGTATCCTGCAATAAAATGTAATCTTACATTAATACATCATGTTGTGTGGAAACAGATTGAGTTTTCATTGAAAATGAGGCAAAGCTGCTTAAGCACTAAAACTAGAAACATCTGCTTTCTGATTTCTGTGAGATCTGGGTGTTAATTGAAGTATTTCCAAAGATCTGGAAATGGAACAGAAGATTTTCTTGCAAATATGCAGTAAACCAAAGAAAATTCCAGCACACAGGCTGAGTAGAGGTAGAGCCTTCCCACATCTTTAAAATTTTCTTGTATTTTGTCACTTACATGGTCAGTGGTGGACACTTAGAGTGTCAGTGGAGCAACTGTTGCACATTTCCAGCAATATTGAATAATGTAACTTATTGAATAATTCAGGCATCTCCAATATAGAGGTTGTATCGTTAAACTAAAAGAGCTAGCTACAAACGTAGACTTGTAAATACTAGTTATAATATAATCCTGAATTTCCTGGTTTAGAAAATACTTTTGCCAGAAATATTAGACTAGACATAAACATTTTATGTGTTATTTAGTCCCAGGAGTAGTTAAGGTATAATATAAATTTATTATGAAATTATGCCTTTTATCACTTTATTGTAGGCATTAGTGTGCAATCTATCATTAAAGAGTTTCTAAGTTGTTAGAAGTCTAGTTGCCTTAAATGTCCTTGAAGGAATTTCAAATGGAAAAATGATGACAGCAGTGGTTTTACCAACCAAGAACTATTGGCATTCACTCTCAAATTTACTCCTAAAAGTATTTGTAATCTTATTTGTCCAGAAATGCTTTACCTTTCAATTTCTTTATCAGTGTACAGCTTGGTTAGTTTGCTTCTTCTGCTTTTTGCCAGTAGTGGTACCTGCAGGAAGAGAAAGACCTAATTATTTCTTCCCCACTCTGAGGGGGAAGAATTTGTATCTCGAGGGATAGGGAAATAGGAAGGGCTGAGATGGCTGCAGCAAGTCTTGATAGTCTAGCCTGAGGTTTGAAATAAGAGCTTCTGTCTTTTGGTAAAGAGGCTGATAAATTTAGTGGGAGGAAAAAAAAAGAAAGGCAGATTAACTGTCTACCACAGTGTCATCAACATACCAGTATTTTTCTGGGACTCAACCTATTTCTATGGAGACAGTTTTGAATGAAAACTTTAAATATTCTTTGCCGTGTGGTGTTTGTAAGCCTCTCCATCTTGTGTTCTCAACCCATTTTTTATGGCTAGTCATATTTGAAGTAATGGTAAAGAAAGCCAATGGTTTCTTTCTAAAAAAAGGTTTATTTAAAGAAAGCCTTCTATGCAAGAGGTTCTGCTTGGTATATCTTTGAAAGAAAGCAGATTCCAGGTTAGCATATGCAATGAAATGGTCATCCACCTAGCCACTGAGTGCTGTGATTGGGTACCTTCTTGTCCTGTAGTACTGGGTTATGTCATTGTCTGTGTTTCACTTAGCTGCTGCAGGGTATGAGAGTGGGATACTTGAGAATTAGAATTGAATAATGGTCCCAGTTTAGGATATCCTCAAAGAATGGCAAGCAATTAACTTGGCACAAACTGATTATTTGCTGGTGGATGGAGAACAGCTGAAGTCCATGCATAGAGCTGAGATCTGGCAGTAGGTCTGTGTCCATCTGTGGAAATTTGAGGTCTTGCAGACTGTTTGAAAGTTCAGGACATTAGCTTTGATTCCATTGCCAGATTCTATCTTTAAAATATTGTAATCAACTGAAAGTGCAGGAAGGACTTTAGCGTGGTTAGGTGGAAAGTAATTAATCTCTTGGTAATTTTTTAGCTTGCTTTTGTGGTGATGTGAGCAATTCAAAGCCAAAGGAGACAACTGTTCACATCTTGTGTGTCGGGCACTGGACTTCACTGCCATGGGAGCTTACAGCAGCTAAACACTTATGTGGACAACAGGGACAACTAAGTCAAGCTCACAAATGAAAAATACATGAAGGAGTATTAAATCCAAGGACCCCAGGCAGTCTGGGTCAGAAAATGCAGATACAGTAGTATCCCCAGCCTACAGCCACCTCCTCTCTGGCAGTCTACCATGTGTGCTTGCACCATCCTTGTTCTCTTCCCTCAGCTGCCGCTCACGGCTCCTGCTGGAGATGGTTTATAAGCTCACTGGACTTCCAGCCTGAGCCCTGTGCATTAAACTCCTCCTGTGTGGCTGTTGTCATTTTCGCTGCATTCATGAGTTGATCTTCAAGTGCCTTGTTTCCTTCAGTGCCTTTATTTGCGACTCTGCCCTCATGGGGGAGTAGCAAGGCCTAGTTTGCTTGGCAGTACCCTCTGATGAAAGACGCTACATGCACAAGCATCGGGTTTAGCTAACGTGTTTATGTGGCTGTTGGCCAAGGAATGTATGCATATTTTAGTAAAGTGGATGTGCTGAAATATACTGGGAGGGAGGAGAAGAAAAACAAAACCAGAAACATCCATTCCAGTAGGACACACTTGAGCATCCAGCAGACATGTCCCTAGCTTGACGTGAAAGCATTACGTAATATTTGGAATCTGATTAAACAAGAGAACCCTGTGAAACTGTAGCAATTAACAAACACTGCATGTGATTTTCAATGTTATATTAGGTGTTAGTTAATATTAAGGTTTGGTTAATAAAATGTGAGAGTGGATTGAAAAACTGATTACAATAACCCCATTGTTGGAGTATCTGCTGTTGTTTTGTGCTCTGTTGTCGACCACCTAAGCTGAGAGAAATCTCCTGGCTCCTATTTGTTTTCTTTTCCAGTGATATTGAGATTTCCCGAGCACAGAGTCCAAAAGCTGTTGATGTACTTGCCAAGGAGATAGGATTGCTTACAGATGAAATTGAGATCTATGGCCAAACCAAAGCCAAAGTACGTTTGTCCCTGCTGGAAAGGTTAAAGGATCAACCAGATGGAAAATATGTTCTAGTTGCTGGGTAAGAATGTACAGTTATGTCATTAATGTTCACTCTTTCTATTCATATTAATCTAAACATGCAGCTTACATCTTTTTAATACAGTGCATAACTAAGAACCCTGAATGTTTTTGGCTGTTTGTTGCTCTTTTCTCAAAGTGAGCAGTTTTGAAACTTATTGAAGTAACACAACTTTTCTTCCAAACTGTTATTACTGAAGTAAAGTATATTTTACATAAGGTAGTTTGTTCTAAGCTTATTAAATGTTATCTATTGATGTGTGGAGTTTCTCTTACTGTTTTAGCAGGATTTTAAATGTTTAACTCAAGTGTGTAAGTCTGCATGTAATGTGGCTGTTTATAAACAGACTCTAACAGAAGCTACATGCTAATCTGTTGGTATTAACAACAAATACGTTTTTTATTGAAGAATAGATTACAAAGTTAAAAAAGCCAGTTTTTTTCTCTGAAATGTAGGCATGTCTCCAGGCAAGTTTATCCTGCTCTCTGTTCCCATGATTATG